AATATCGAGCCATCTTTTCCGCTTCTTGTTTATCTCCTGCAGGGATTTGACCCTGCAAGAGTTCGCGAATCGACTTTCTCCAGTCGTCCTTTTCTTCGATTTCCATAGTTTCACTTAGGACGCTCCCCTCGAGGTGCATCGTGGTGATATGATTTCCCACTTTTCCCTCATTTGAGCTTGCTATCCTCGCAAGCCAGTCGGCTCGTTTGTTCTCCTCTCGCGGGACTTGTTTTAATTAGAACTTTTCCAGGCCTTGTATGAGGTTCTGGATTTCCTCGACATACTTCATCATTCTGTCTTCCTTAATTTCGCAGCTTCCCAACACTTGCCCGACGACGAGCTGCGAGTCGGAATGTGCTGCGATTTCTGTTGCTCCGCCACCGATCGCCAGTTGTATTCCCTTGATAAACGCCTCGTATTCGGCTTCATTGTTTGAGGCTCTGAACCCAATTCTAATTGCGAAGTCGAGTTGTTCGCCCTCGGGAGACACGAGGACGACTCCTAAACCAGATCCCTTTGCGGCCGAGGATCCGTCGACATGCATTATCCATTTCCTTTCTTCTCTTTTAGTTCCTTCTTGAATAAAATCAGCTAAGGCCTGGGCTTTAATGGCTCGTCTCGGCTCGTATCTGATGGAGTACTCACTCAGCTCAACTGCCCACTTCACGAGTCGACCTGAGACTGTAGGTCGACCCAGTGTTTCTCCCAGCTGGAAGTTCGTTCTTACCACAATTGTATGATTTAGGAAATAAGGTCTCAGCTTTCTGGCTGTTATGACAAGTGTTAGAGCGGCTTTCTCGACTTCTGGATATCTCGTTTCGGCGCCTTGAAGTACTCGACTTGTGTAATAGATTGGCTGTTGGGAACTGCCGTCTTCCCGCAGCAGTACTGAACTCAAAGCAAACTCCCCTACTGAGATGTATAGAATCAACTCGTCACCTGGTTCTGGTTTGGTCAACAGGGGTAGCTCGCTCAGGAATTCTTTCAACTTCTCGAAGGCCATCTGCGCCTCGTCACTCCACTTGAACAGCGTCTTCTTCTTAAGTAGTTTGAAAAAAGGGAAACTCTTCTCAGCTGCTCGAGCAATGAATCTGCTCAAGCCAGCGATCCTTCCCGTCAGCACCTGGACTTCCCTGATGTTTCGTGGTGGGGCCATGTCGAGTATGACCTTCATCTTATCCTGGTTCACTTCGATTCCCCGTTCTGTGACAACGTACCCCAATAACCGTCCCGCTTTCACTCCAAAGGCGTATTTGCTCGGGTTCAACTTCATCCCAAACGTCCTAAGGGTGTTGAAAGTTTCCCTCAAGTCGTCTGGGTGTGAAGTCGAGGATTTACTCTTCACCAGGATATCGTCCACGTACACTTCCATATTCCGGCCGATTTGGGGTTTGAACATTCGATCCATCAATCGCTGGTAGGTTGCCCCTGCATTTTTTAGGCCAAAGGGCATGACGACATAGCAATATGTCCCCTTGCTCGTCACGAAACTTACTTTACTCTGATCTTCCGGCGCCAAAGGAATTTGGGGGTATCCTTGCGATACGTCCATCATGCTCAACAACTCGCAGCCAGCTGTGGAGTCGACTAGCTGGTCGATTCTAGGCAAAGGATAATGATCCTTAGGGCACGCCAGGTTCAAGTCGCGGAAGTCGATGCACATACGCCATTTGTTCAATGCCTTCCTCACCATCACAGTGTTAGATATCCATTCTGGGAATTGGATTTCCTTGATATGTTTGGCCTTCAACAACTTATCTACCTCGATTTCGATTGCTTTGTCGATTTCGGCACCATGGTGCCTGAGCCGCTGCTTCACAGGTTTCCTGAGGGGGTCGACATTAAGTTTGTGTTCCATCACATCTGGGTCGATTCCTGTTAACTCCTCGGGAGAAAATGCGAATATTTCCCTGAATTCCTTCAGCAATCCCACCAACTGTTCTCGCAACTCGTCCTCCAACTCCCTCCCGACTTTGGTGGTTTGGTCCTTTGACTCTCCGATTTGAATTTCCATCAGTTCACCATGAGGCTCAAGGTCACTCCTCTCGGCCTTTTTTCACTCGTCATTGGTCTCTTGCCTTCTTTGACCTCAGCTCGTTGATTGGTTTTGACTGCGATTTGGTAACATGTTCTCGACAACTTTTGATCTCCTCGAGCTTCTCCCACTCGGTCTCCTACAGGAAACTTCAGCTTCATGTGATAGGTTGACACAACTGCTTGAAATGCGTTAAGTGCTGGTCTCCCCAGAATCACGTTGTAAGCCGACTCGACATCAACCACCACAAATCTTACCATTTTTACTTTCCTCAAGTCGCCTTCCCCCAGGACGACAGCAAGCATGGTTTCTCCTAGGGGAGCGACTTCCGAGCCGTTGAATCCGAAGAGTGATGTGTGCAGGGGCGTAAGTTCAATGTCTAAGTTCCATCCTCCTGAGGCACTCATAGAAAATCACGTTCAAAGAACTCCCGGTGTCGACAAACACCCTTTGCACTTCATATCCCGATATCTGTGCCGTAATCATCAGGGCGTCGTTATGCGGCCTCTCGACTTCACCAACATCTGCCGGTCCGAAGTTCATTACTGGTCCACTTTCGTCGACCTGCTGCACCTCGACTTTCGCATATCGGCCCCGAGCGTAGGCCTTTCTTGCTCGATTAGAATCTCCATCAGTCGATCCTCCAAAAATCATGTTAATGACTCCTCTTTTTGGTGGGAGCTCCTCCTTTTCTGGTGATCTCGCCCTCTTGCGAGGACTCTTACTTCGCTCTCGTCTCCTGCTCGTCCTTTCTCGATCCTTGTATATAAACTCCTTCAAGTGGCCCGCCTTTATCAATCTCTCAATTTCTTCTTCAAGTGTCGACAGTCGTCAGTGTTGTGCCCGTAGTCTTTGTGGAATCGACAGTATAGGTTGCTTTTGGGTTTCATAGGTCCATCCTTCCTCGTTCGCGGCCATCTTACCACGTCGTCGCGGATTTCTCTCTCCATAACTTCCAGAATTCTCGCATGAGGAGCCGACATGGGTGTATATTGAGTTGGTCTCCATCCTCTAGGTCTGCCTTCACCCCTATCAGCCCTCGGGGATCCCCTTCTATCCCCTGTCGACTGGCCCTTCTTTTCCTTCTTGTCGTCTCGACTGTCGGTTTGAGACATCTTCACACTTTGCAAGTAGTCGGCTTCGGCCTCCTCGACATTCATATATTTGGCACATCTCCCCAGCACATCGTCGAAACTCCTACCAGGTCGCTTGGCCAAAGAGTTCTTACACAACCCTGGTAGCAGTCCTCTCGTCAATCCCCCCGATTTGATTTCCTCTGTCGCCGTTGGGCATTCGACGCACGCCTTGGTAAATCTTGCCACATATTCCCGCAATGACTCGCCCTTCTTCTGCTGCATGCTAATCAACGAGAGGTAAGATTTCTCTTGCACCCTCACACTTGCGAATTGGTTAAGAAAACTCGAACTGAATCCATCAAAATCCCGAATCGACCCTGCTGAAAGTTGGTGGAACCAGTCTTGGGCCGACCCTGTCAAAGTCGTCAGGAAGGCGCGAGATTGTACTGGGTCGCTGTAACGATGAAGCACGGCCATATTTTCGAAGCTCCTCAAATGTCGAGATGGGTCTGTGGAGCCGTCGTACCATATGTTCAATTCTCTGAAGCCTTTGGGTAAGTCGGCTTTCAAGATCTGCAACGAGAATGGGTGCTCTTTTGTTCCTCTGCTCTTCTTTCCATCGACTCGAGCTTGTAACTCGCGAACCTGGGCTAATAATTGCTCTAACGTCTCGTCCCTCGCTTGTGGGTTGACAGTTCGAATGGAGGACTCTTCCTCGTCCACCCTCCTATTCTGTTGTACGTTTGACTGGGCTTGTTGCTCGACGCGGGGCTGCTGCTCAATTCGAGGCTGATACTCAACACGGGACTGCTGCTCGACTCGTTGCGGGTTCTCGACTCGAGGCTGCTGCTCGACCTGCGCCATTTGCTTCATCTGGGCAGCTACAGCTTCAGCGATCATCTTCTGCATTTCGCTTCTCGTCATCGTCAAGGTCTGCTCCTCGACATGGGGTTGGGTTTGCTCCGGTACCTCCTGTATCTGTTTCCCTTCACGTCGAGACATCTCCGTTGGTTCCTTTTCCCCTCCTGGATTAGGGTTTTGACTTGTCCCCACTTGGGTCAACACTTGTAACTTCACGCCTGTTGGAGTGACAGGCGTTTCTCCACCCAACGTCAGTACTGGTGGTGGTGGCCCTCCAAATGGTGGCATTCCCATCATCTGCACCACGGGGTGTTTGGTGGTGGGAAGTGGTGGTGGCCTCTTGTCCATCCACGTCCCTCTGAATTCTTCGCTCAGGTTCCTCTGCAAGCCCTCCTTCTCCGCCATCGGCAAACAGATCGGAGCTGGGTGTGAAGCTCTTCCTTCCTTCAAGAACTCCCCACAGACGGCGCCAATATGATGGGTCTACTTCCAGATCTGGAGTAAACCGGTGGATGTGAGCTCAGATCTGCTTGAACCGCCTCCAAATCGTCATTGGACCGCGAGATACCTGCAAAAACTCAACGCCGGACTGTGTGCGCAATTTGTCTAGACAATGTATGTGGGAAGGAGGAAGATATGGTGGCAATAGTGAAAGGGTGTGGACATAAGTTTCACGCTTGCTGCCTTAGGAGATGGCTCCCAAGAAGAAACATTTGCCCTCTCTGTAGAAGGATTGTGATTTCTGTGGCCAGATGATTTTTGTATATAATTAATGGCCAAAATGTATTTCTTTTTTAATTTCAATGCAGCTAGGTTAGGTATATATATTCCATTTCAGAACAATTACACAGTATCATATATGATGCCATTTCATTATAGAATTTAAGCGCTTAAAAATATATTATTAAGTTTGTCCTCTGGTTTGTGTTCCCTTTCCTAATCCCGTATTCCTGTACCTTTGCTTTACTATGTTGTAATTTCATCCTCCTCTACGCTTCATGTGCATGTATCAAACGGAACATTGTGACATGCTCCTCGGTTTGCTTCCTGCTGGCTTGGAAGAAGTCTTCATCCAAGTTATTTTCTTGATTCGGTTCTTTAAGGGTTTCATCGAGCTGAACATGAAGCCAACTGTCGTCTTTCTGGCACCAACCTACCAGACAGACTATATTTTTGTACTCTGCTTCCTGCTAAGCCATCATGGAAGCCAGGTCAGCAGCGGTGCATCAATGGGTATTTGTGATCTGCGACTAATAAATTCGGCTTTGCCCCAGTTGATATAATATGATGGCCACCAATGTCTTACTAAATCAATTCCGTGTTGAAAATTAAGCAGAAAGACCAATGTAAAGCTGTTCATCCATATTTGTTACGGTAATCCAACGACCATGAAACGGGGTATGAATAACACAGGATGGCACATAATTGAGTTATGTGAAGTCGATTCTGTAAAGTCAAATCATATAACCTATCTTTTGCTGGAGAAAAGGGAATTTTTGGCATCTCGGATACAGCCATTTCACTAGTAAGAGTAGCAAAAGATTAACAAGTTCAAAAAACACTTTGTACTCTTTTATCTTTATACAAGCAACATACTCATGAATATCCAACACATATTCACCATTTGGGGAAAACTATACCAGTGTAAACACAAGGGACATCCCGAAACTATCCACCTAAGACTTGGACTGCAGAAAAGTAAAAGGTTTCTGTTGACGGACGTTTCCGGTCAACGGTTAATAAGATAAGTAGTGAGAAAGGAAATGGAAAAATCAACAAGAGAAAGCAGTTTAATATGATTTTATTAAAAGATCACGAGGTCGGCCTCTCGTACGAGGTCGGCACTTGCGATATACTTACAAATTATTACACGAATTTACAAATCTAGAGAGAGAAAATGTAGAGAGCTTAGACAGCTGGGATTCAACAACCTAAAATAAATGAAGTGGGCTGCTATTTATAGTGGCCTTTAATGTGGCACTATTCAGGCACTGTTCACCGGTCTTGTCGCACGGTATCTTTGCAGAGCAGTCCGGCGCCTTTCTGACTAATTGGGAGTGATTTCGGGATTTTCTAATCATTACCTGACATGCATTTAATGTGGAGGTGGGCTGCATTTAATGCGGGTATGCCTTTCTGGTTGGATTTGACGCTCTAGACCTGCGGGCTAGCTTGGGGTCCCATCGGCGATCACTGGTTGACTAGTGGTCTTAGTTTATTATTTCGCGAGTTCGTATCCCCCCCTCCGGGACCGACCTTGTACGGTCCCGAGCTGAACCATGACGACTTGTTCTTCCGTGTCCGCGACCTTGTTCGACGCTGGGACAGGTAACGGTGCCGACCTCTCTAATGGGGAATACGAGGTACCGACCTGACGAGCAGCTCTGACCGTCATTTCTATTTAACTTTGACTTCCACTCAGGTCGGCACTCTCTCATCGCCGCGGTACCCGGCTTCACTAACCGGGTCGGCCTCACCCGACTTCCGGTTTCTCGGATCGTTACCTTCACAGGGACCCGAACCGGATATCAACAGTTTCAACAACAAAAAGAAGCAAATCATAATTTTAATTCTTTCTTTCAAATCATTAGTCACTTTATATGGTCTGCATTTGGATAATTGGAGTAATACTTCATTTTCTGGCTGAGGACCCTCAAAATTTCATCCTTCATCTCATATGCTTATGCAGACAATACAGCTCGGCCTTAGGTCCTCACGATTCTTTGATGATTTTCTTCTAGAAATGCAAAAGCTATCCTCCCCTTGTAATACCAAAGTACAACCAAAAGGATTTGGTCAAGCACATGCATGCTACTACAAGGAGGGGCATACTATGTAATTGTGCAATGAAAAGAAGGCCAAAATTGATGCTACTACAAGGAGGGGCATATCATGAATTCTGCGACTACAAAATATGTGAAAGTATTTTGCATAATCATTAACTATGCATTCGAATTGGACATATGTTGATATATGCGCGACAAAATCTCTCATAATTCCTAATTAGGCGGTTCATTTGGATATGCGATTATAGTATCGCATATCATTTCGTGACTTTGGACAGTGTGCAAAATGAATTGTATGTATATAATGGGGTGTAAAAGATGCTTGCCCAATTATTATTGGGAAAATTCAATTCTAGGGCTTAACTTTTATGTATTATGTCACAACAGGGTCTGAATTTTCAACTTTGATTGGAGAGTTTCAATTTTAAGTTATTATCAATTGAAGACTTACTTTTACATTCTACTTCTCAATTTAAGACGTCAACTAACTTTATATTTTGACATAATTATGTAAACTAAAATACTATTATTTTTAAATTTATATTTTAAATACTTATAATAAAAAATATTAAATATCTTTAGTAAAAGTGCCTTATAGAAAAATTAATTCATATAATTTGCATTTATGAAACAGATTAATACAATAAATTTTGAAAGTTAGAAAATATGGAAACCTAAATTTTAAGAACATTTAATTTAAATATTATTATAAGTGATAATCTAAATATGTAATAACACTAAAAAATAAAATATTTAAAAACTTATTTTATTTTTTTTCTAAATAAGATTATAAAAAATATTATACGTGAAAATAATTCTATTTTGAAAAAATTAAGAATATATAAAATCAATACCTATTAAAAAAAGTATTAAATTTCTTAGTAAAATTACCTTAGTAGGAAACTTAATTCGTATAATTTACATTTATGCAAAATTTTAGTAAAATTAATTTTGAAAATAAAAAAAAAAATTGAAATTAAATTTTAAGAATGTATAATTTAAATATTATACTAATGAATTTCTAAGTATTTAACAAAATTTTAAAATAAGCATTTAGAAAATTATTTTAGTTTTTTTTCTTAAGCTTCACTATTGATTTTTTGTATTTTATTTTACCTAAATTTCATAGTTTTAAGCAATCATCAATAGTCAAGATTAGAAAAGAATTAGAATAATTTTCTAAATAATTTATTTTTTAATTTAATTACATATTTAGATTATAAAATAAAAATATTATCTATATAATATATTTTCAAAATAATATTAATATAAATAATATTTTTATTAATAAGTATATCGAAAATAATAATTTTGTACACGAATAATATTATCAATAATATTAATTTGATAAAGAAATACAATATTTCTTTAATTGTTATTTACTATATTTATTACATATTTATAATATCAATTAATTTTGATTATACATTTTTAATTCATTCTTCAACATTTTTCAACTTTAAAGTAAATTTTGTTAAGCTTTTGCATCCATGTTGTTTAAATGAATTAATTTATTAAATCCAGAGACCACTCCATTTGACTGATTGTGAAATAAATATATCTGGTGGAAATTTTTGGAATTTTTTTATGTTCAAATGGAAAATGGTTCCTGGAGTCGCTTAGAGCACTTTGTTGCAGGGGTAAAATATACATTACCCCTTTGTATTATACGAAATCTGTGTTTTTCCCACCTGTATTTTAAAAATTGCGTCAGACGCCATTTTATTAATGTTTTGTATGCGCGAAACACCCTAAATCATCTAAATTTTGGGTGTTTCGCGCGTACAAAACCTTAATAGAAGGGGGGTTGATGCAATTTTTAAAATACATGGGAGAAACGCGCATATTTCGTATAATACAGGAGGTTTGGTGCATTAAACCCTGTGTGCAGATAAGACTTTTCTTTTTCTTGGAGTATTGCTAACCTCAGGATGCATATAGTTGGTTGGATGCTTATCTGTTAATTCACAAGTAATCCTACTCATTTATAAAATAAAAAAAAAAATAATAAGGAAACTCCCAAAACACTAGATCTGGAGTTTACGGTTTGAAAAAAAAAAATAATAACAATAATAATAAAACAAAAAAATCCATATGTTCAGAGTGTGGAAAAGCAAATGCAAAGAAATCTGCATATTCAGACCCAACGTCACTGACGGGCTAAGCCTAGACCGCCTCAGTCCACAACAGGGCCCGAGATTGGATCTCCAAATCGCGACCAACCTCTGAAACATCGCCAGACGGGCTGACTGAGCACCTCCGGGGCCGACCTCGCCATCCCTAACTTCACCACCAGCTGCGTGCCGAACCTACCACCGCTCGCGAGCTGGACCTACAACCGAACAGAGCCATTCGCCATTGGGACCGAACAGAACCATCTGCCGTCGGGACCGAACAGATCCATCCGTCTCTGCGGGCCAAGCCTACGACCGTCTGCGGGTGGAACCGGCCACCATATGCGGGCCGAACACGGATCTCAGCACCACAGACGACCCACTCGGATCTCTCGTCCATAACCGGGCCCGAACAGTCGAATCCACGACCGACCCAAAACAGACCGAACACATCTGCTCGGTTTTCCGAATCTTCAACCTCCTCGTCCCCGAATCATCAACCGGGCCTTAGAATCGTAGGCGCCGACCTTACCTTTTCTGACCTCAAAGATGGCGGACCTTGCCGTATAAACCGACCTCACAGAAGGAAAATCCGAACGCCGACCTAGCTGCGGCCGTCCTCAGATCCAGAAGCCGAATTGTCGCTACCGCCGGAAAATGGACCCCGTCGTCTAAATCGAACACCGACCTGCCGTCTCCGCCTGCAAGAGTGCCGCCGCCGCCGGAAAACGAACACCTTCAAGCTGGTCTCCCAATGGACGCTCATCACAATAGCCGAACAAGCAATCGTGAGAAAATCGGCGACTTGGAGACAGTCTGTGCGTCACAATAGCGATTTGAAGTGATGCCACAACCTAATTAACGGCGTGAGAAAGAAAATGCAATGTCTTATTGTGGGCTTTATAGTAGATTAAATGTAATTTGGGCTAAGTAGTGTAAATCAACTTGGGCCTATCAAGTGAATATAAAAATGTTGGGCCCAGTAGACTTGGGAAATTATGTATAGAAAATGTAAATGTGAGGACAAAAAATATTGTAATAGATAGAATAGATAGAATTAGGTCGAGACAAGCAGCAAAAATCTCGAAGTCGTGGAGCTCTTCGGGAACCTGAAGAATAGGAGCAAAAGAAAAACCGACCTCTCGAGATGGTAATACGCTCAGGCCTACACTCTGCACCGACCCCAGGTAATCCTACACCCAATTTAATTATAAATACATACATATATATACGTATATATTTGTATATATAAACATATATATACATAAAAAATAAATATGTACATGTATGTAAATAAAAATAAAAATAAAAAAGTCAAAAAATAAGAATGAAAGAACGAGATGGCCAAAGTCGCAACAACTATTTGCCGACGGATCCCCACATCATAACGGGGGCCAACCACTTCAACGTCAGAATCAATCCGCCGAACCAATAACCACCCGCTGATGGAACTAAAGATGATCGACCACAATTGAGACGAACATGTCTCCACTGGCTGTGCCCGAACCTGCGAGCATTACAAAAGCGACAAGCACATCACTTGATCTGAAAAATTTGGAGCCACGTGATCACGATCAGATCACGGACCACTAAGCTCGTTGTCGCCAAAACAATCATCCGGCCTTTATTGATAGGCCGACGTCATTATTTCACCCACCGTTGAGCTCTTGCTCCGACAATGACGGTGTCTCCATCCAGCCCGCCGACGAGCCCCTGCTCTGCCGGGCCGACCTTATTATTTCGCCCGCCGTTGAGCCATCGCTCCGGCTGGGCCGACATCTCCATCCAGCCCGACGACGAGCCCCTGCTCTGCCGGG